AGGATGTGGTCTCCTCCAGACCCTTCTCTCCAACTTGCAGAGGGCAGATCCTGGACTCCATGGCAGCCACAGCCCTGGGACCCAACGTCTCACCAGAAACTTCTCAGGTCCCTGTGTCTCACTGCTTCTGTTTCTCCCAAGATCCTGACAACTGCAGGATCCTTGGACGTGTTTTCGTGTTTTATTTAAGAAGCTGTGCATAACACAACACAGTAAGTGCATCATTAGCTGCAGTTTGGAGAGCTACAGTGTCTGCTAGAATCCCCTAATTAATCCCACAGGGCTCAGTTCTCTGGGTTATTTACCCAGTGCCGTTAGCAGGCTGCCCATTCGCTCCAGCAGGAACCTGCGTGCTGGGCTTGCTATCACAGAACAGAGCTCACATGGCATCTTCCCTCATACTTCTTGGAACAGCTCCATAAAGCCATCGCTCATCCTGCTCTTAAAGGAGCCACCCCAGATCACCTCCACACTTCTTAGTTAACACACAGGGAGCAGCAATGGCTGGGGCCCATCATCGAATGAGACAGTTATGAAGTGGTGAGCCACTGAGAGAGAAAGTGGGGAGAAACAGAAGAGAAGGGGGAAAAGTTGGGCAAAGAGGGGAAGAGCCAGGACCTGGCTCATCACAAGGAACTGATTTCCCCAAGGGCTTGGGCATCTGTTTCTTTTGGAGAGAACGAAGGTATAAAGCCAGTTAACTGTACTGGAAGTCCTGTTAGTGGTGCTTGGAGGTGGGCTTCCGGGGGATGAATCAGATCCGGTGAGGTCATGAGGAGCTAGCCCCATGATAGCAGGCAGTCATCCATGAATTAGGAAGAGCAGGGCAGACCCTAGCCAGCAGGCTGGCTCTGTATGTAGCATGTAGCAAGAGCCCCTCACCAGGCCGCACAGAGGCTAGCACTACTCTTAGACCTGGCAGGCCCAGAGCCAGAGGCTTGGAGCTCTTCTAAGATCTGCTGCAGCCTCGTCAGACTGCAGAGAGTGGCACCCCCTTCCTTTCTGCTGGAACCTCCCAAAGGCCTGCACTGCCATCACTTCTCTCTCCTGACTCAGACTGTGCTGTCCCCACTTACCGCCTCTCCTATAAGTGTCCCAGCTCCTCAACCCCCTAACTTCTCTGAGCACCACATCTGAAACTGACCAATTTGTGAATCAACTGAGCTGCCCCACAGCTCTCAGACCCAATCTTCCTCTTTAAGTGTTATTTCTACACCAATATCTGCCTGCTGCTTAGGCCAGAAACCTGGGAATCGAGCTCTCAATCTCTCTTCTCCACCTATCCCCAGCAACCACTACAATGAGCTGGTTCCACCTCACAAATGCTCTGAATATGCCCTCATGTCCAAGCCCATCTCTAGGGATAACCACTGTTGGCTCTTGTCCACTGGGTCCCTGGCCCTAGTCCTCCTGAGGCTGCAGGGACTAAATAAAGCACACCTGTGACCATGACATCTCTTCCCTGGAGACCTTCCGTCAGCTCCCATCGTTGAGCTTACAGCTCTGGTCCTCACCGGGACCTCCTACACCCTGCTCTCACTGTCAGCTTCTAGGCACCACTATCCTGTTCTGACAACCCCCTGCCCTCTGGCCTCTTTCAGCTCCAGGAAAAGCACTTTTCTGAAGGCAGGCATTGTGGCACAGCAGCTTAAGCAGCCATGCGAAATGCCCATATCCCAAATGAGAGTGCCTGGGATTGGGTCTCTCCTATTTTCACCCAGATTCCTGCTAATGCACCCGAGAGGCAGCAGACCACAGCAGAGACTCCTGGATTTCCTGATTCCTGGCTGCAGCCTGACTCAGCCCTAGCTGTTGTGGGCATTTGGGGAGTAAGGAAACAGATAGAAGGTCTCTCTCTCTATTTCTCTCTTTCTCTGTGACTAGCTCCTCCTAGTCACTGGACCCTTACCCAAGTGGATCCCAGCACTTGGCTGACTCTTTTTTCAAATCCTTGCCTCTACGACCTGTCAGGTTCTGCTGACTCTTCAGACTTGAAAATAAGACTGCCATGTTTAAGCAAAATTTTCCCTAACCCAGACCAGAGCCCATTGCTAACACGCTTCTCCTTGAGGGCAGGTGCCGTATTTGTAATAAAATGCTTTTTACATAACTATTTATTATCTTTCTGGCCTGTCAGAGTACAATCACATATATCTCATTCATTACACCTCCCCTGCTTCAGCCCTGCTCAACAAGTATGTCAGACAAACACATGAACTTCAACATCAAAGCTATAACAACTGCAGTCGTGCAGACCGCATTACAGCATGAGCAGCCTCAATCAGTTCCAGCAGTAAAATGGACCTACAGCTTCAATCCATGTAACTCAACTCACTTCAAAATCACCACTCACTTATTTATATGTCTCCTAGCGGACTGGAATGCCACAAGGTCAGGAGCTGCAAGGAACACAAAACACTGTGTGAATGTTCAAACGTGCTGCTTCAGAGCAGTGCTGACACCCCTAGCGCAGCACGGAAAACAAAAGGGAAAGCCGGTGTGATAAGAGTCCTGCAGCTCTGCTGCCATCGTAGACAGGACAGGGAAAGCGACTTCTGGGGCCTCCGTAACAAACAGCAGACCTTCCACTATCGTCTTAAGTTTTAAAATTATATTTTCAATTGGTAAATAAATAGCATCAAGTGGCAAAATGTTTTTCAGTATCATACATTCAAGAAAACTGCCAAATTATATTTTAATTAACTAGTTACACTGATAAACAATTTAGACATTATTTTGGCCTCTTTAAATTTCTTCCTGTCTCAAAAAAAATTAGCAACAGGTACAGCAAATAGTTAGCTTAATAGCAAGCCTTATTGCTTAAGGCCCTTGGCTCACTGTCTCCGGTGCTGACTCATCACCTGCTAGTGCAGACCGGGGGCAGCAGCTGACAGCCCAAGTCACCAGGTTGCTGCTACCCATGTGGGTGACTCGAATGGCACTGTTGGCTCCTACAGGCTGAGAAGGGCACTGAGGGAGTGAACCAGAGGATGGGAGTTCCACCTCACTGTTGGTCTGTAGGCCTCTTTCATATAGATAACTAAAATGAAATCATACATAAATCAGTATCAACACCATCCACATGATGCTCAATTCCAAACCTTGGCTCTCCTTGGATCACTCTCTGATTTTCTCCGGGACAAAGCGACCACCAGCGTTCCTGACTCTCCTCTCACAAGGCAGCAGGGACATGCCCCTCCTCTGCACCTCTCCACCTTCTGGGATCACTGCGTGGACTCCTTGGGGGCCATACAAAGGACTCTCCTGACACCCCATCTCCTCCACAGCCACCTCAGGCCTCATAGAACACACAGCAGCCAGAGCTAGCCTTTTCCATGTCAGCTAAGCATGTTGGTCCCTCTAGAATATACCCAGCCCAGATGCACACAAGCATGGGTTGTACACTGGCCTCCACAGCCTGCTTGGTTATCCTACAGCACACTTTGAATCGTGCACCCCATCACATTGCTTGCCCTTCTTTCCAACCCCAAGACTCACCACAATCTTTCTTGCCAGGCCTTCTGGCTAAAGTTCTGAGCCCACATCATTCCAGGCTGTTTCCTAGTGATTGATTCTCAGGTCCCCCACTACGTCCCCTGGCCCAGCTCCAATACTGACCGCTGTATCTAAATGAATCCCTACTGGATCTGGATCATTTTCTTCCTGTGTGCTGTTTTCCTCCTAGGATGCAAAGCTGAGCATAGCCTGGGTTATCCTTTAGTGTCTAAGGCCTCAAACACAGCCACTCATTATACAAGTGAATTCGGTCACTGTTATTCACAAGAAACGCAGCATAAAACACTCATAGATTAAGGGGTATCATTGGAATGTACACCATGTGGCTTCATATTAGACAATTAACATTAGTGTGCTTACTACACACTACAGTCTCCTATAATGCACTGAAAATTATATTCTGCTCAGAAAGTTATTCTCTGCAGTAGATAAAGTTCCACTTCTTAATAAGCTATTTTAAAACAAAGACTCTAACGTGAATGTGTATTATGAATGAGGAAGAAAAAGATGTGTCCTTCCTTTAGCAGACAGCATGGCCTCCTGAGGGTTGAATCAAGAGCACTTAAAGGACTAAGTGGGTGCAAAGGCCAACCTAAAATCTGGATGCCAACATCTAAGGCAGAAAGTATCTATTCAGTATCCACAGAGCTCAGGGCGATGACCCAAGTTGGTTCACCAAGGGCACCAGATTGCCCTGCGCTGAACAGAGCCACCCTGTGTGCAAGGACAGATGGCACACACTTCGGGCATCTGGGGCGGCCATGGGTGGAACCCTCTCTCTCAACGCCAGATGTCACCAAGCCAGGCCCCTCATCTGCAGGACTCAGTAGCCAGTTACACAGTCAACCGGAAGGCCTGAAAGCCATGCTATGGCCAACAATTCCCAAGGAGCCCACATGCTCGGGACCCCAGGAACAGTCAGAGCTAGAACACAGGTGAAAGCCCTGGGCACACACACACATCCTGACCACTGGCATGAGACATGAGCTCCCTCGGATACCCTGTCATGACTCACTCTTCTGGAGCTGTTTGCTAAATGCCACAGAGCACAGCGGCAACCACTGACACCACTCGGAGGGGCAAACAAAAACAGCAGCGGGCGCTTTATCTTCCTGTTAACTGACTGCCTTTGTTACACAACACTGTCCGGAAAACCTCACTACAGTTCCAACTGCAAGCCACAGTAATCATGTCATTGCGTGAGCTATCTGAATATCTAATTATGAAAAAAGTAGGCAATTTCACAGTGGAAGTATTGTTCTAATTCAAGACACCAGCCATATTAACCTAATAGTCTGACATACAGCAGATAGCTGGAAAACTGTAATTTGAAAGATAATTATTTTTAGGTGATTAATATGCTTCAAATTAAATTCACTGCTTTTAATGGGCCTATCAACTTGACAACCTGGGAAATTACACCATTGTGCATGAAGGAAGCCTGGTGGCTTCTCCAGCTGCACTACACATTCGACAGGGGCTACCTTCACAGTAGGCGTTGTCCTCACGCAGCGCCCGGAAGCCATCTCGGCAGCTGCACACGGCCCGGTCATTCAGATTCCTGCAGACAGAGTTCTCCATGCAGTTGTGTCGCTCAGAACAGAAGTCATAACCTGCAAGAGATGCAGACATGCGCCGAGAGGCGTTAGGAACCAGACAAGCCCTGCTGACTTAGTGAGCAGGCGGTGCTGTTTCCTGAAGTTATATCTATGGAACGTGCAGAAACACTGTCCTCTTTATATTAATAAAAAAAGATTAAAGTGGTTCATTGAATCTTGATGCTACTCTAAAATAAGTCTGCAAACTCACTGGTTTCAGGATTTATAGAAGGCTCACATGTTGGGGGCACCAAGAGGCCCCTCAGTTACTTCCACTTGCACTAATCCCATGTCAGCTTTGTCTCCTGGCTGTGAAAACGCTACCTCGCCCTGAATGTGCTAATTATGCTGCCCTCCCCCATGTATCTGAACAAAAGCAGATTTACAACACAGCAGGTAAGTGGGGAGAGTTAAAGGGAGACACAGCCAGAGAGATGAGGACCACACCAGGCCAGCCACACACCCACATAGGAAAGGAAATGGGCAGCTCAGCATCCCTAAAAGTGAAAATCACATCACTTTAATCTAATTTTCCTGGGAAATACTTAAGATACGGTGTTCACTCAAAAGAAAATGGCAATTGCTACGAATTACAGAGATTTCGAAGCTCCCAGGGTCCTCCTGAGAGGAGACAAAAAGGTACATCTGACAAAGCGGGACACCAATCTTGTGTAACTTAGGGTCTCTCTCCTGCTCGGAGATCATGAAGACGCTCAGATGGACAGCTCCAATACGGAGATCACATCTCACAGAAACCACACGAGGATACATCACTCACTTGACAAGCCCACCTGGTTTTCTACTACCTATGGGACTGCTGTTCTGTATCTGTCTGAGGGTGGATGCAGGACTCGTCCACACATGCACGCAGGACAAAGCTTCTCAACGGGTCCATTGTTGGTGTCCACTCCAACTGGCTAGCAGTCTGTAACGACTGGTTTAACTGTCACCTAGTTGAGCACACTCATTGTTAAAGGCACACATGAAATGTAGGTAAGTATTATCAGACAGACCTTAAACAGCCTTACATAACAGTGCAAAAAATGCAACGATGGTACTAAGAGGATGGAAAAATAAAATTAGTAATACATACAAAAAAAAATAGGTGCAAGAAGCCAGAAAAACTGAGTTAGTGTTTTGAAGACTTGTAACTTGTCCAATATGACTCCTCATTTCTGGGCCTGGCGTGATGTCTCAAGCAGTTAAATCTTCCTCTTGCAAGCACCAGAATCCCACACAGGTGCCAGTTCACATCCCCCTGCTCCACCTCCCATCCAGCTCCCTGTTTGTGGCCTGGGAAGGCAGTTGAAGATGGTCCAAAGACTTGGGACCCTGTGCCCACGTGGGAGACCCAAAAGAAGCTCCTGGCTCCTAGCTTCAGATCAGCTAAGCTCCATCCTTTTTGGCGGCTTGGGGAGTGAACCAGTGGATGGAAGATCTTTTTCTCTGTTTCTCCTCTCTGTAAATCTGCCTTTCTAATAAAAATGAATAATATTTTTAAAAATAAATTAGACTCCTCCCATCTAAATTCCCATGGCAAAGGATATCCATTTGGAAGTACAATTCTTCAGAACAGGGAAAGTTACAAACACTTCCTAGGGACTTTAGCTCTTCACTGTACTTACAGCACATTTGCTAACATTGGGGGAACTATTGCCACCTCCACTGCCTAACTGTCAGCATTTTCCATCCAAAGCCAAGAAGCGTAGAAACACCACTTGGTATTTATTCCAAATGAAAACAAAGTTACGTTTAAACAACAGCCCACTACTTAAAAACACATGGAGAGGGAGAGACAGTCCCCAGTCCCTGTAATCTGTGTACTTTTCCCCTTTGGGTCAGATTTCAGAAGCATTTTTCCGTTTCTTGGCTTTGCATTTGTAAACCTTGACTTTGAACTTTCCCCTTCAGAGTCTTCTCATCTTCCTTCACAGACATTTCCTCTGCTCCCCAACAGCCCAGGGCCATGACACTGCACCACTGCCAGTGCTTCCTTCTCACCAAATCTCGCTCCCTGGCACGCGGGGCAGCATGCCTGGAGAAGCCCCCAGATTCTCAGCTCATGCCATGACCCCCTTCACTGCTTCAGCCAAAAGCTTTACTTTCTTTTTCTTTTAGATTTATTTATTTATTTTTCATTGGAAAGGCAGATATACAGAGAGGAGAGACAGAAAGGAAGATCTTCTGTCCAATGGTTCACTCCCCAAGTGGCCGCAACGGCCGGAGCTGCGCCAATCCAAAGCCAGGAGCCTCCGCCAGATCTTCCACAAGGGTGCAGGGTCCCAAACTCTTGGGCTGTCCTGACTGCACTCCCAGGCCACAGGCAGGGAGCCAGATGGGAAGGGGGGCCGCTGGGACTAGAACTGACACCCGTATGGGATCCCGGGCGCATTCAATGCAAGAACCTTAGCCACTGTGCTATCATGCCGAGCCCAAAAGCTTCACTTTCTATTGGGTCTTTTTTTTTTTTTTAATTTTTACTAACATTGACTTGAAAACTAAACAGTTCACCCAAATTTTAATTTATTTTAGCTGATGTTAGACATTTAATTTGTTCTTTCAACAAATCAGTTAAATGCTTCTAGTGAGTTGTTTCAAATGAATTCATTTATTTCAAAGGCAGAGTTAAGGAGACAGACGGTAGAGAGGTCCATGTCTCAGATGGCCTCCAACAATAGGGGCTGGGCCAGGCAGAAGCTCCACATGGGATGCTGGCAGCAGAGGCAGGCCAACCAGCAGTGCCAAAGCCAGTTCAATCTGCTGCCTAGGCAGAAGGCAACAAGGGCAAGAGGCTGCCTGCCGAGGAGTGGAGAACCCAGGCTCCATTCATGAGCGCTGCTCCTCACCCTCCAGAGGAGGAGTTGACAGCACAGTACTGCCCACATTCTGGCCTCTGGCTGCACTTGGGAAGCTGGCAGAGCTGAGCTTACATGCAGTGTGTGTCTGACCTCAGCCAACCCTGGCAGTGCGAATCTACTGGCTTTGTAAGGGAACATTCTAAGCCTTCAGTTGTATGTACCTGTCAAATCAGACTAATATTTACCTTTGAAAATGTGAGGTTTGAGTAAGATCGCATATGCAAAAGTATACCATTATAGCATTTTAATAAGTAAAAGAATATTACTATCAAGTTTACACCAAGTATGGTAAAACTCATGTCATAAAAGTTACCATTTGGAACAGACTGACAGACAGACTAATTAGTTAATATAACCACACCTTTGTTTCCTCTTCCGTACCTCAAGGTTACCAAGTTTTTGTGCCATTGGTAAACCTTACAAATTCACATAGAGATCCACGCTTGCCTAGGGGTAGACTTTCATAGAAAATGTAAATATCTATAGTATAACTGGAAAGTAGCGAAGTATGTGTATAAAAGATGGTCAGTAAAAGTAGTAACACAATGATCGGGAAAAGGAATAAAATATCTTGTGGTTAATGTTGAATGGATTTTTCGCATACACATACCTGTTCCTCTGGAGAAAAAAATAACTTAGCTACAGTCTGGGTGACCCACTCACCCCTACTGCCCACCAGGAAGACAGGCTCCGCCCAATCCAGGAGAAAGCCACAGCGGTCAGCCACAGGCCTGCGCAGTGATTTACTCAGGCTGAGAACAGGGTCCCGGTCAAGTTAGTGAGCCCCAGTCAACTCCAAGGTCTTCAGTCAGTGCATGAGGACCCAGAGCTATGCTTCACTTAGCTTGGTGCCATTCCAACTGGGGTTTAAGAATGTCAGGGAACAGACTGAGCAGATGGCTGAGAAGCACCTGGCACAGGCGGGCTTCGAGAGCTCCACCAGGCTGCAGACTGTCCCACTAGCAGTTGGGGCTCACAGATTCCAATTTTCAGACTAGCCAGCTGAGCCCTGAGTTCTGTTATTTGCATATGAAAGAACATTAACTTATTTAGGTGTTGCAGCATTTCCCACAGTGTACTCCCTCTACAGAGGTGAACACAAAAGGAAAGTGCTAGAGCAATGGATTTCTGGTAAGGCCTGTGAGAAAGCAGAGCAAGCCTTTTGGCTGCAGGTTCATACCACTGCAGAAGCTGGTTCCAGGTCCCCGAGAAGCAGTCATGGTTTGATGTGACTTAGAGACCAGCAATTGGGAGCCTCATCTGGTGCACAGCACAGTTTCTGACCAGGAGTCCAGCCTCTGAGGGCAAGGTTGGCACGCCCTGTCTATGTTCTGCCCACACATTGTCCTCTTTCAGGCAGCAACACAGCAGCTCCAACACTGAGCCTGGAAACTGGAGGCCAATGTACACGTGGATTGGTCACTGCACATGTGTAGGAACTGATTTAACATTTAAGCCAAAAGTTTTTTCCTTTCAAGCTCACAATCAGAGGAGGCTGGGAGAACTTGTTTGTTTATTTGGCACCTCCATTGCCTATCCAGCTCCCTGCTTGTGGTCTGGGAAACAAGCAGAGCATGGTCGAAAACCTTGGGACCCTGGACCCTCGTGGGAGACGTAAAAGTAACTCCTATCTCCCAGCTTTACTTAGCTCAGCTCTGGCCATTGTGGCCATTATGGGAGTGAAACAGTGGATGGAAGATCTTTCTGTCTCTCCTTCTCTCTGTAAATCTGCATTCCCCCCCCCCAAAAAAAAAATGAAGGTAAACATTTCACTAAGGGACAAACTGTCCCATTTCTGCTTGCATGTCACCTAATCAGATCTCAATCCTGGCTGCCAAGTAGGAATTGATAAAGGATTCCTTTTTTTTCCCCCGTTTTTTAAAGATGACAGCAAGATCCCACTTCAGGGAACTTGGAGAATCTCAGATGGAAAGGAGTGCAGGCCATGGTATATTTTGCCATCATATTTTTTAACTGTTCAATGTAAAAACATTCATTTTTAAACAGTTAATAATTTTTGTTTTATAAAATTTTTGTAGGTAGCTTTTTCTACTTATAAACTTTTTCTATATGAATTAGGGATCTTATGGGAAAAAATGGGTGTGGTAAAGGTATATGTTTACACCTGAAAAGATTCCATCTCCTTTTTCATCCAATCTCATCTTGACCAGCCAGTGCTAACCTCTGTGCCACCAGTCTCCTGACACCGGAAGATGATCTGAGCCTCTTGGCTTTCCTCGTGCCAACGGCAGGTCCTGTTTATCCTCCCCAAGACCATTATGGTGTACGATGGAAATGACGCTGTGCTAGTTCAAGAGCCCCATGTAAAGCCCCGAGCCACCACTGCAGAGCTGATTCCTGTCCTTGGGGTCAGGCCATGGGCTAGAGTCCCAAGAGCAAAGAGGGAGGGCAGTGCCGGCACTGAGAGAGAATGGAAGAGTGGCAATGGGAAGCCATGGAGTTCTGGCCACTTTCCCAGGTATCACAGAGAGGGGCATCACCAGGGCCTGGACTTGATCCAGTGACTTAGCTGGGCCCCTAAGGCACACGTGGCCACTGCTGCCACTCACAGCTGGCTGCCCAGGACCCCCAGGCTGAGCTGCCTCTGGGAGCAGGATCTAAGGATGAGGACATCCTCTATAAAGATGAAAATCCTGCTCAACAAGCCCAGTGGAAAGGACACTGGGTCAGTCTCACTAGGGAAAAACTAAGAAACCAAACCAAACCAGATACTTGCTGGCAAGCAGTCTTAGCTGTCAACAACTCAGCCACCTGCCCTCTGCAGGGTAACTCCCCAGCAGCCTGAGCAGCACACGGGGCGGTCTAGCAGAGGCACCAGGATACCTAGGGACTGGTTCAGTTCGGTCAATAACCTCACAATGATTTGCTGCATACAGACTTCAGCAGGGTTTCTGGTGGTGTCACTGGCCTGTGGAAGCCACTTATTCAGACGTATCTGTGTGCCCTGGCCCAGTGTAAAGGCATGCCCGCACACGAGTCTCACCTCACTAAAGGCCTTACCTTTACAGACTTTGCAGCAGCTGCGAGACAATGTGATCTGCTGAGACTCGGGGCAGTCCAAAGCTGGGCAGCCTGAACTCTCAACCAGCTTCATGGTCTGGTCCTGTCACACAGAAGAAAGGAAATGCCTCAGATTTCATGAGCAGCACTTCATCACGAAGCTCCTAGAACCCATATCCCACACTGCTATCCTGAAAGCAATGCACAGGCCAAGGGCTCCCTCCTGAAAGGGAATGAGGTCTCCATGGAGACGGGCAGCAGCGCCCAGATTCAGGCGCAGAATTGCAGCAGAGCTATCATGGGCTGCCCCCAAGCAAGCTCCCAGAACATCTGCAAAAAGCACAAACTTACTCTGCAAAGGAACAGCAAAACAGAGCTTTGTACATATTCATGCCAACATTTGATCATAAAGTGATGAATAGGGCTGGCACTGTGACCCAGGCACCATCTGCAGCACCAGCATCCCACACAGGCACTGGATCATGGGCACGGCCACCGCACTCCGAATCCGGCTTCCTGCTGATGGCCAGGGAAACACACTGGAAGTTCACCCAAGTGTAGGTGCTCCTGCCGAACAAACAAGAGCTCTAGAAGCAGCTCTCGGCTCCCGCCTGGCCCAGCCACAGCCATTATGCCCGTTTGCACAGAGCGATCTTGCCGTTTCTCAATTCTTCCCTATTTTTTTTTCTTTCAAATAACTAAAATCTTAAGACAGTGATGGTTTTGTTCTGGAATGTGGGAGAGGATCTGCAGAGAATGGGAGGATGGAGAGGGCAAAGCCCACAGCCTAGCAGAGAGCTGAGGAAGTCCTGGGACATGAAGCCTCTAACTTTCCCTCTTTTTTACCCACAGCAGTAAGACAGGAAAGCAGCAGACACCTCGGAGGATGAGAATTCCACTGTGACCACTATGTGCACTGGGAGAGTAAGTTCACATCGTCAACTTCCACATGAAGACAATTACCCAGCTTCCCTTGCACGTGCACTGTAATTCACAGTTAGCACTTCTGCACACGGGCAGCACGTGGGCACCTGGCAACCACTCACCTGGCACTCATACAGGACACACACTCCAGAGGAGGAGTAGCCTGTACTTCTTTCTCCTTCAAAGTAGCTTCGTCCTTGAAACTGACATATTGCTTTGGAATAAAAAAAATAGAGAGAGATTATTTTGTGAGAATAATACCACTCAGGGGTGCAGGTCACGTGCACCTTTTCAGGTATTTCAGTCGTGGAGTCCACGGGAGGCCCGTGGAGACACCTGTCAGTGTCACAGAAGAGCAAGCCCCGGTGCAAGAAAGGGCAGGCTCTGACTGAGCAGGGGCCAGAAGACAGAGTCAGCATGAGGCAGGCTTCTCTGACACATGCTGCTGCACAACACTGAGTCAGGGACTCATAAAGAATCCACACCCACATCAGCGTCAGCTCCCATCCCTGCACACTTCAGGGTACCCCACTGAGGACACTGGGGGGGATCAGTGTCAGCTCCCCATCCATACACACTTCAGGGTATGCCACTGAGGACACTGGGGGATCAGCTTCAGCTCCCCATCCATGCACACTTCAGGGTACCCCACTGAGGACACTGGGAGGTGTCAACATGAGCCAAACTTGCTTCCATCCCAACTAAACACAACTGTAAATCATTTTAGTCAACAAAAAGATGTTTTCAGTTAGTGAAAATGGACGCCATACCAGATTTTCTTTTCTAAAATTTACAAAATGTTTAGAGTTGACACCAACTTTGGCCAGAGGTGGCAGTCTGTGCTGGGAATGGAGCAGTTGCCGTAAGGGCCCTGCCCCATGGAGCAGTTGCCCCATGGCAGCCCACTCACACTGACTGCAAAGCCAAGCCTATGCCTTCACTTGCTGATGCTTTTGTTCTGTTTCCAAGATCACACAGCATTTTGGTGCTTCAGTGACACCAGCTCTACTGAGGCAGTCGTTCAAAGCCCAGTGGGGCTGAGCGCAGGATGTTCATAGCACCTGATGTGCTTCATCACGAATGAGACAAAGGAGGTTGAGAACACGCACGTCCCCACTCACACACACCCACAGCGGGCTGGCCAAAGGCAGGAGTTAGGAAAGCAAGTCTGCTATGCCGCTGAAGGCTCACCGCTGCCGTAGGATCCCCACGGGCAGGATGCGCACACTGGCAATGGAGCCATATCTCAAGCCCAGGCATCTCCTCTGGTATCTTAACTACAAAGCCAAGAGAACAGACCTGACACTGCTATTCCCCATCCATCCACCAAGTACACACACGAATTTCCTTCCAGCTTCACTATAGGAAGCGTTTCTTTCACCCTTTGGAATTTGTATCTCCCCATTACCTTTAAAGGTATCGACTTGTCAACAGAACCAAAATTTAGACATATTAATAGCAATAAATAGTTGTATAAATATTCATACTCTAAATGTGACCTAATTTTCATGTTCACTGAAAAATTCACTGATTAAAGGTACAGATTTAAATAATGGAAACCATGTACATTTTTTAAATGCTATCCTTCAACCAATGTGCTTACTCAGTTTTTATTAACAAATTTGATTACCTAATATATATCTGTCAGCCAACTGATTTTAATATTTTCTGAGCTTTGTGGAAAAGAACATAACTTCCTTCATAAATCATATTACTTAAATGCTGGCAGAAGCTTGTTCACTTATGAATATTCAAAATGAATGTACAGTCTTGTCAGTTGCATGCTACACATCACGCTATAAATTAAAGTAGCATGTGTATTTACTTAATGAGCCTAACTGATTGCAAAACATGTCTGTCCAATGTGTCATTTTTGAGCATGCTCTTTTTTTATCTTCTGAAACCTAGTAACCTCAAAATATCAAGATCTGGGATATTGCATGCTTAATTATTTCTAGCAAGTATCATGTTTCATAATAAGAACAAATAAAGCCTCTCTTATTTCTGCTCAGCACTCGCCCTGTGAGTCTGACCTTGGGACTGCAGCCTGTTCAGAATCAGGGATGTGGAGCAGAGAAGGGCAGAGCGGGAAAGAACTTGGCATACACAAGGCCAAGTCCTCCTTGAGAAACTGGACACTCAGCACAATCAGGTCTTGTGTTCTGAACTAATTCCAAACACTCAATAGGCACCTGGAGGACGACAGGACCCCAAGTGGACGAGCACCTGGAGGATGACAGGACCCCAAGTGAACGAGCACCTGGAGGACGACAGGACCCCAAGTGGACGAGCACCTGGAGGATGACAGAAGCCCACGTGGAACCCTGCAGTATGGAAGAAAGCACCAGAGTGAAGGAGGCCACAGCTGCTGGGCTGAGCAGGCGGATGGCGCAGCGCAAAGCACGCATGGGTCTGCTGTCTCAGTTTTGTTTGCTTATTTGTTTGTTTTTGATCTGCTGCTGTGATTACCTATGACCCTAAAGCCAATAGGATATACATTTGCTTAGTTTTGTGGGGAGAAAATATGAAAATACCACAAAGCAAAAAATCATAATGAGTCCCCAAAGCACTGGAAATCATTATGAAAACCCCACTGTTGCAGCTCTGGACCTGAGAACAGTGAAAGTTGGGGTCTTACTCTAACTCACACTTTAGACACACGTGCACTGACGTCACCCACCATGGCCAACACTGCTAGGTACAGGGACTCAGAGCAAACGAGCTGTGACCCTGCCTCTCTCTTAGTAGGGCACACAGGCTCATCCACAGCCAACAACAGAAAGCCTAAGGTCAGGGAACAGGAAGTGACAGGGAAACAGGAGCGATGAATGGTGCAGACACAGCTGGCATCAGGAGCAGAGGGAGCAGGGCAGCTGTGGGGGGATTGACAGTGGCATCAGAGGCACCTGCAGGGAGAGGTGACCAACCCATGGCTGCAGAACAACAGCTGAAAGTCCCACGGGAAAAACACCCACCTGCCAACCATTCCCCATGAGAGGACACAACCAAATACAATGCTTCAGTGAGTCAAGCCAACAAGGACCCAACAGCCACTATGGCATGGGGTGCACACATGATTACTGCTGCATTCATGTGTGGGTACCACCCCAGATTCCTGCACCTCAAATCACTTGCCAGCTTAAAGTAGAACTCTACCCATTAGGACGTATTCACAGGAGCTGTGATGACTGGTCAGCTGAATATGTTATGTGTGCAAACATTTCATGACATGATGCTTGCAGGGAGAACATACAAATGCATTCCCACAGTGCCTTACACACTACACACCAAGCTGAGCCCTTCGGGAGGAAGGCTGACCTGCGGCCTGTCACCAGTGTCACACGTGTGCCAACTGTGACTGCAGGACACTGCTGTCTGGTCCACATCCACACACGGCACAGACTGTGCACTCACGGTGCGGACACTGAAAAGAACTGGGAGACATTAAGCAAAATGACATAACTGCTAAGCAGAGGCTCTGCCAAGGCCACTGGAAGCATCACAAGTTACAGGCTTACCAGCAACCTAACAATGCAAAAGCCATTCGCATGTCTTACTTTCATGTCATCTTCTCATAGTTTAGTGCCGTAAATACAGTTAACAGCAATTGTTAAAAAGTGAAAAGCAATTAATAAGTTAGATTAAGCAATGGCTAAGTGTAACAAACCAATAAAACAGAAGTATGTAAATTCTAGTAAAACTGGAAAATCCTAAGTTAGAGGCCACTAACAGATATCAACTGTGCTGTATCTGTAAGGGGACCTAACCAATATCTGCAAACCAAATCTCCTGAAAATGACTTAGGAGGCCACGTCATCCGTCACTTCTAAACATCTCTTCGCTTGCTGCCTGTCCAGCTTTTCCTCTGCATCCAGCTCAAACTCCCCAAGTGGCGTCAGCCCCCTCAAGATACTGCAACAGCAAAGTGGACTGATGGGTAGCAGGGCCAGTGCAACACCCTTGGGTGAGACCCGGGTCCCAATGGCCATGATCTGGCCGCTGATCGGCTGCCTTGGCAGAGTCCAGGCAGCAGCAACTTCCACTGGCTGCTCCTGTCTCCAGCAGAGCTCAGCAGTCAGAGACAACAACAGAGACTCACAAAGTTGCTGCAAGAGAAAATGTCTCATTAATTGTAATCATATGGATATTTTAGTATAGCATTTAGACAAGAATGAACACATTTTTGAGGTAGACTAAGATTCTGTAGAATCAAGCAAAAATAATCTAAGCGTGCTTCAGTGTTCCTTAAAAACTTTGATTAGCTATGTGGCATTTATCCAGTCCACAATCTTCTTCTGGAATCTGAATTCTCTTGGAACCAATTCTTTAAAAAAAGAGGGGGGAAGGGGAGTTGTCAATCAAAGCCTTGAGCACCCAGTGAGACAAGCACCTGGCTCCTCTGCCTGCACACGCCCGTGCCCAGCACTGGCCACTCTTCTCTGTTCTTGGTGGCTACACGTTTTCCCTTCGAGGGCAGAGCCTGCGTCCTTCTTACCTCTGAACTTACCCAGCACTGACCCCACAGTCCTGCATGGCAAGTGAAGAGAACCCTTAGGAACCTCGGCTTTCCCTGTGCAGTCGGCTTTATCTCTGGCTTCTGCATCTTGCAATGCAGGCTGAGGACCTGCTCACATAACTCCCAGCACCTGAGGTGGGCCAGGCTCAACCTTCAGTTTGAGAGAAAATACTCAAATAGTTCACAAATTCACTAAGTGTACAAGATCATTTCTCCAAATCTCAGTAACTGTTAGGGAATTTGAGCTCAGGCAGCGGGATCATGAGAGTGTCCCATTTTATCCACAGCAAGTCCTTGGGCATCTGCGGGGCCGTGGGACGCCTCTCCTGGGAGGCCTGAATTGAGGCCAGTCGCCTTTTCTTCCAAAGAGAACAGCCCTGAAATACCATCAGTGCAGCAGCGCAGGGTCAGGAAGGAGAGGAGGCTAAAAATAACCTCCAAAATAGAACAAGAGCAGAAAATGCAGACACCTGCCCAGAGCAGCCTTTGGATTGTGGCCTCTATGCTGGGAAAACAGAGCCAAGGCACCAGCCAAAGGCAAGGTTTACGCTGCCAGCAGGGGCGCAGGGCTCTGCCAGCAACCTCACAACCTGCAGCCTGAAATATGAGCTGAAATGTCCCCAACTGAGCGACCTGCCTCCTGCCACTCCACTCAGTCAAGGGCTTGGCTCTCAGGCCAAACACAATCAAGTCAGCAA